GACCCCTTGCGACAAAAAGATGGTTTCAGGGTATGATAAAGACCTGACCGATAATTTTAGACAATAAATGTAACGAGATACCTAAGCCTGGTAGTGTATCGGGATTTGGCGATACATCATTATTGTTTTCGCTACTGAAACGCAACTACTATTTTCAAACGTATCTCTACAGAAATACACATACTGTAAGGTACCGTTAAGACACCATCGCGATACATTTGTATCGTGGTACTTCCCCGGATTATCTGATCTTGATAATTAACTTGACTGGATTATGACGGCCGAACCTCTTGTGTCGGGCGATCAGTCGAGCGAATAGGATCTAGATAAATAATTTATTAAAAGCTTGAAAACTATGTCATCCGCATACATTGAGGCGGGAGTCCTCTGTACTGTCTGTCTCCCTTCCTCGCTGTAGTTCATCCAGAAACCTCCTCCACTGTCTTCCAGGGCTCTTTAGATTCTTGCAACATATAACGCAGTGTTGGACAAAATACTCGATAAAAGTATTTAAGTTACTAAATACCTGCTTCATAAAGTATTTAAAATACTACTTACATTCACTGTAAAGTATCTTGAGTAGAGTACAAATACTTAGAAATATAATTCGATTACTGTTAAAGATACTTCCGCATAGCGTAATTTGTACCGACGTCAGACACAACGACAATTATACAGCTGCGTAAATCTGGCTTACCAGAATGGTTTATTTGCACGAAACAACACAAAACGAAAAAAAAAGTATCGTAGCGCTATTTTATGCAGTCCAACTATAATGAGCAGGATATTGTCACAAATGACAAATGATGAGGCGGCGAATAACTGAAGAAACTAAACGTTTAATGCGTCGAACTTGTGCCCAAAACAAAATAGAGAAAGGCTAGCGTCGTAGGCGTCGATGTCGGCGAAACAGCAGGATCGACCGCAGGGGCGAGACTGGCTCCGGACCGCCACCCGGGGCACCTTTTGTACCCTTGTGGGTTTCTGGAAGATTCGGCGTAGAACGTTCGGCGCGTAGAACATTCGTAACTCGATCAGACGACAAGGTTCTCGAACTTACGATCATGCCAAGTTGAAAGAATAAATAAAAGAGAAGTCCGCTCCCTGGAATGGAACCCGGAGCCTCCACGCGAGAGCCAAGCGCGGTAACCATTTGGCAAGGCGCTTGGCAATATCACTGGTACATGTTACAGAACATTTCTGGGACAACAAGAAAGAGGTCTGATTTCCTCCTGTTAAGGAGGAGACCAGACCGTGTTGCCCCAAGCGGTTAACTTCAGAAGTATACACGGATGGGGACAACAAACACAGTGACCCAGCGCTGGGCTGACATAATCGAACGCGGCGTCAGCGTCCGGCTGGAATTCGTGGTCTCCGGTGAGGAGGAAGAGGGTCTCTTTTGTTACCACTCCAGCCTTAAAGGGGCAGTCAAGTGGTTTTTGAGTTCGTGTTTTGATAATGACAGCTGAATTTAGACGCCTTAAGTATCCCTGAAAACCAAAAAGTATAGTCATACGGTGATTATTTCTTTAATAAAAATGTAATTGAAGGCCGCCAAACCTCGGATCCATCCGAAAACGAAACCACTCTCATTGGTCGTCGCACGCTTATCAAAAGGATCTCGGGCCAATGGCGTTGGAGGACGTTCCGTCGCGCAGTGATCCCGAGGTAGCCGCATCGGCCGAACCTCTTTGTCATTCGAGCTTCGATCATGGCGGAGTTCTCTACGCTCGAGGACCTGACGCCGTTAGAGGCTGAAGTTCTTCGGCGGACAGCCGACCTGGGGATGATTTCCTATGACGCCACTCCGACGTGCGATGTGGACGATAGCAGCGCTTCGGAGTCATGTTCGGGTTCCGAGGACGACGAAACGCAGACCTTTTCGGGCGTTCTTCGATTTGCGGTTGGGGCAAGTCGTAACCAAACCAACGTTTGACATCGCAGCGTTACCTCTGGTACGTGATGTCAAACGATGTCGCCACGTTGACTTTCGCCTCGGGAGAACGGGCGGAAGGCTGGTTCAGACATGTGCAACGAGCGCGTACCTACGACTGCGTCCGTTGCAACCGGAGCGACCGGAACGACCGCACTGCGCCGCGCGTACACACACCTGTAACCACTACAACAAGCGCAGCGGGTCGTCAGCACGGCGACCGCTTCTGTACGCCGCCGTCAGCTGTGTCAGCGGCCCCTCTAAAAAAGGGGACGCACTGCTACTCAATGCCGTAACAGAATATAGACACAGTTTTCTTGTCTAAAGCTTTATTATTTTTTCTTGATAGGCTTGCAGGGTACAGTGAATGAAAAAAATAAAATAAAAAGATGCAGCGCCGTCTTGGACGATCACGACTCTAATACACGACATTGCAATAGTGCAAATATCGTCACACGCCTTTTCTACGATTATAAAAGACAATGTAATCTTAGCAGCGATATAGCAACGTAGAAATATGATTTCGTGATCAGATAGACGTTGCGAGCGTTCAGGATTGCTAACACTAATCACTTTTCTCCGGTGATGAAAACGCGTGAAAATTCGCATCCTTTATACGGTACGCGCCAGTAATACCTTGAACTTGAGCACACGCATGAAATGCGCCAAATCCTAAATCCGGGCGATGTTCGAGGACACAAATGCTTAGAAAGCACCACTGTAGTCGAAGTAAACAAACACGACGGCACGGGCGTTTCTGCCGTCTTGAGAGTGCCGCCACGACATCGCCGCACGAGTAGGTGGATGTTCCCTTCTAGTACGTGCTGGGTTATCATAGCGAAACACGACGAAAATTCACAGTCAAGGATAGCGCTTTTACGCGGAACGATGAGCTTTCACCAGGCCGTCCATTCCGACGATCACCACCGACGCCACGTTTGCGGATAGAAGGAGCCGGCCGGCCCGCGACCGGCACGACCGGCCTGCAACGCGCGGAGATACGTGCGCTTCCGCGCATCCCTGGGGAACGGGAAATTTACCCCCCGCGGAGGAAGGCAAATAGAAAACGTACTCCCTTGTTTGTGAAACGATAATTGCGCTATCGCGTATTCTAAACTAGAAATATTTTACGTCTTGTGAAATTATCATGCACAACATATTTAAATGAACTGAAAATTGTTTTTTAGCGAAACTTTAAAAAGACCGCCAAAATTTTCAAACATACGATAATTTCATTGGTCCTCGCAAGTACAGAAAAGAGTCCGCACGTATTTTATTCCTGCGTGATTAATAGGCGTTTCTGCCTTCTAAAACTGAAGATACTCATTCACTGACACTTCCTTAACACCATCGCACCAAAAAGTAGCTTCTCCAAAAACCGCTTGAGTGTCCCTTTAATTAACAATGCAGCATGCACGGTGCACAGCTCAGTAGAAAGCCCTCAAGCTCGCATTTTCTGACGACTGCTTTCGGGAGAAATCCGGTACTTAATACCTGTTCACGCCGCAGTCAAGCCCACGCCGCAGTCAAGGGTGCGCCGTGGGTGTAGCCAACAGTGAGCGAAGCGTCATCACCATTGCCCCCTTTTGCTTTTTACTTTCCCGGGCAGGCACAGCGGGTGGCGTCGGAACGTTACCCCTCGGCGCGCCTGCGCAGCGCGCTTCTTGGGGGCTGTCTGGCCGCCCCGCCGTGGTCCCGCCGTTACCGCTGTCTTTTGCGTCACAACCGCCGTCGTCGTCTCACAGTTTTTAATTATTGTCTCTCGGAGTTTCGTCCACACTACGGACACTACGTGCGCAGACTAATGCCGCAGTTGTGCAGACGTCGTTGAATGTCGCAGGCACCAAAGTGTGGTGAAGGGTGCGGTGCAGACAGCACTTGCGCTTGACACACGCCTGCCCCAATCCCGCCCGTAATTGCGAAGGGAATCACGTGACATCTTCCGCGTGATATCCATGTCCTTGGCGGCCCGAGTGAAATGTTTCCGGACGGAGCCGAAGTTCCAGCTTCGTTTTCTACTCGTGTTAAAAGTAGTTTGAAAAATATATAAGTATCCTATATTTCGCAAAGCATGTTTTTTTTACTAGAGCTTTTTAATGCGAAATCACTCATTACCCGTATTTTTTGGCATTCAGCGGAGTTGCCCTTTAAAGGGAAGCTGAAACTGTTAGGAGCGTGAGTTAGTGCTTTTTGCACAGTTTTTTTTTTTTTTTTTCTGGAGAATCTAAATGTCACTCTCGTTTGTTCTCAGAGCAATAATAAACGTGAAAAAAAATCGAAAAATATGCAGCCACTCGCTGTCGCCAAACGTCATTGGTTGGTCGAGCCGTGATGTCATAAAATGATCAGGCGCGATTCTAATTTCACCTATCGCTCAACTATCAACTGGAAATCCTTACCTCGTTTCGTCTCCGCTTCGCGTAAGCTCCTCGGATTCGGTGAGGTGCCTGGTTCTTTTGTAGAAAAATAGTCGGAAATGCTGGACTAGCAACCATTTACTAAAGATAAACCTCTTCTTTTACACCCATTCTTTCCGAGATATGAAACTAATGGGTGTGGAAGAAGATCTTCATTAAATGGTTGCTAGTCCAGCAGTGTGTTTGTCCTCTTTCTTCTGCCTTTCTCTCTCTTCGTGTATCTTCCTACGTTCAGCTGCCATCTTTTACAAGCATGAACCGCCGACGATGCACGATGCTGGCTCTGCTAGTCGACGAGCACGCGCGAGGAACCTTTCGTGACGTCATTTTCCCCTTCTCCCTTTAGTGCCATCTTCCGCTGCCGCGGAGGGGCGTGGTTTCGATGCAACTTCTAAGGCGTCTTTCTAGGTGATGCGTGCATGAAATAGCCTACTTTTTCTGATATTCGTGATGCGCGGGGTCGGATTAAAAAACAAATCAATTGTTTTTAATCAAATTCAAAACAAAGCGCGACCGGCTTTTGTGTCAGCTCCCTTTGCTAGGCAACGAAACTATGAACACGCCATTGAAGTAGCACCCGAGAGGATGGCTAAATACGACGGGTTAACGTCGGTGGCTTTGAAAATTTGCATGTCCGTCGAGGTGAAATTTCAAGGGATATCGCCACTTTCCTCAGAGAAGACGACGTGCTTCTGTTGTGCTTTGTGTTTACTGTCTATCATCTGCTGAGAAACTTGGGCTTCGAGAAATTCAAAACGGCGCCGCAGTTCAGAATGACATCCTCGAGTAAAGACGACGGTACCTGAAAGACTTAGGTCGATTCCGGCTATAGCATTTTGAATGTGTAGACCGATATCATCATAAAAACAACAGGCCATGCGTTTATGTTTGGACTGATTCCCGTGCTTAAACAATACATGTCTATGGACAAAAAAAAAAAAAAACAGCGCTAAAAACAAATGCACGACTAATTGGTGGACAATTGTGTTGCACGTAAAACGTGTGCCGTCTACGCTGTCGGCACTCTTCATCGGTTAGCGACTGGCTTAAAGCGCGGCATGTACACTCGATAGCAATATTTGGAGCTATTTGCCGGACGCAGAGCGGATGCCCCGCAGGGCTTTCCTGTCAAATAGCACTTCAACTTTCAGTGGCGAGCCTCACGGCCACGCTTTTATCCTGGCTTCATTTTTGCGGCTTCACAGAATGCCATAAACCTAGCCAATGAACGTTTCACGTTGAAAGGAAGACAGATAGGAGAGTACGCGGGAGAACCACAGCGTTCTTTTACTGTACTGTTTTCGCCTTTCATTTTTCCCTTTTTGTGGGCTGTAGTATTTTTTTTTTGATTGATTGTTATCATGCAGGCTGTGAGACGGGTTTTGTCCATGGATGCCTCTTCGCTAGACCCAAAAAAGAACACACGAAAATTAGCTAAAAAAATATAATAGTGGCCCCGCCATCTATACTAAGCCAAATGGAGCCCAAAATAATAATTGTTTTGCACCATACTACGGCAAGAGGGCTGTGGTATGGCCGCAACCTCTTGTATACTGTATCTGCACCGCTGCCAGCCGGCACCGACGGTTGATTTTCTGCGTCGTCCAGCAGCCTCGAGAAATCCATCCAAATCAACGCGTGGATGAGTTGGATGAGGAAAGCAGATGCACCGTTAAATTAACGAACAGAAGCCACTGCTTTTACTTAGCCAAAACTAAATCTCACCGTCATTGTCAACGCATCTGATCCAACAAATTTTACTACTACTGACGATGGAGTACTGAATGTCTATCCTAAGCAATATATCGACAAATTGAATATACTCGACAAATGATATGCACTGTTCTCTGCCATCGTTTTTCTTACCGTAAAAAAAAAAGAAACAGTTAAACGCAATGAGTCACAAACTTTGTTTACAAGGTTTCACTAGCTGCTAGCATTTTGCTAAACAATTCTTGTATGACGACGGGTGATCTATGTCCAAGCAATCGTGAGCAAAAGACTCAGGATATATGATATGTTAGGTGCACATAAATGTCTATACAGAAATATTCTCAAGAACCATCTTCATAGACTAGATCAGGGGTGGCCAGGCCGACCAGGCCTAAGAGCCGCAAACGAAACCACGAAACTTCTAAGAGCTACGGGGGGGGGGGGGGGGGGCAAGTTTAAATTTTGTTTGGAGTCTGACTACGTATGATTGCACAAGGCTGTACGACAGTACGTATGGAGGTACAAGGCTGCCAAACCGGTAGCCGTACTTTATTCTGCCTGAAATCTCTTCTGTTTTTCCTGGGGAAATGCGGGAAGGGGGGGGGGGGGGGGGGGGGTCCCCTTACGAGGGATCCGCGAGCCGCACTTGGTCAACCAAAGAGCCGCATGCGGCTCGCGAGCCGCTGTTTGGCCACCCCTGGACTAGATGATATGCTCCTTCTTGATTAGGTTCCGTTTCAATTCAGAGGAGCTTTCATGTTAATAAGAAATAAACTACGCTGACTTGATCTTGTGGCGTAATGTTGCAGCTTTTCAAACTAGGGAAGACTGTATCGAACTCGTAATATGGTTTCGGTAATAAAATAATTAACCAACTGCCCTCCGACGGAAGGTGTTTCAGTCCACGCATAACGGCGCCATTTCATTGCTAAAAACCGAAAACACTTCGCCAGCAGCCGGACTTGATTGACTTCGGTTCTTAAAGGGGGGTACTCCGGCCGTTTTTTGAGCTACCTAAACAAATTGCATTTTCCGACTACCCGGACTTCAGTCGTCATGGTATGCTATTTATTTTTTCGAAATTCAAAAAGAGCAATTGAGAAAACCGCAAATGAAGACGATGCCGAAACCGGCATTCAAATTTTCGCGCGCTCTTCAGGGGTGTAACGTCACACATGGTACAGACTTTCAGGTCGTGCATGTAGTCTTAAACAGAGTATGTCGAATGTTTTTTGCGTTCTTTTCAGTGAATCAGTTACCAAACATTCTTTTCCCACCATCTAACGTCTTGTAATCAGTTGGGAACATGGCTTACTGCCCACTTTGTACCATTTCTGTCGTCACACTTCAATGTCGCCAGATAGGGGCTCCCGGTTTGAAAAACACGATGAAAACGAAATTCGAAAATTCAATAACTTCGCGAATTTTTTTTTCTTTTCACACAATACTTGGGGAGCTCGTAGAGCCATCTGTATCGGTGTCTTGAGCCAATTTTGAGGCAAATCAGCGACACGGCCTGCCCAAAGTTGCCCTTTTCGGCCACCAGGTGCTGACTAGCAGCCGACTGTGGCGCCCTCTTTTCGCTGTTCTGGGGGTTGTAGCAAGACGGGGATGATGGCAATGCTTGACTTACGTCCACGTTGACCCCGACCACTGGGAAGACTTTTCCACCGGACTCATCAAAGCGAAAGAATTCTTTTCCGTCCTTGTACCATTTTGTGACGTAGTGGACGTCATCCTCCAGTTCGTATCTGCAATGCAGTTGCCAGGAGTCGCCTTCCTTGGGCGCCCGTGGCACCTCAAGATTGATCAGCTTCAAGGGTGTCACGTTCACTAGCATTCCTGCGGATGAGCAAGAAAAAATGATGTTATATCTAGGTTCTGTGTTTTCGGTATATACAAAGAAACTCCGAAGAATAACCTTTCTAGCCGGTCTTTACAAAAAAAAGGGGGGGGGGGGGGAAACGAAAAGTAATTCTTTTACTTTGTTTTCTCAAAATCAGGAGAGATCGAAACCCCGAAAAGTAACTCTCGAGCACATTTTTATTGAAATCGGGAAAAGGCTAATAAGACCCCCGAAAACGTATTTTCGAGTCGGTTTTATCTAAGTCAGAAAAAAACGAAAAAAAACCTCTTTCGAAAAGTAACTTTGAGTCGGTTTTTATCAAATTAAAAGAGGCCGGAAAGTAACCCTGAAGCCGGTTTTATCAAAATAAAAAAAAGGCAGCAAAAAAAAAAAAAAAAAAAAAAACCCGAAAAGTAATTTTAGAGGCGGTTTTGATCATACTCGGGAAAGACCGGAAAAAAGAGAAGAAGAAACGCCGAAAGTAACTTTTAGGCCAGTTTTTATCTGATAAAAACCGGCTGGAGGGTTCATTATCAGTTGTTTTTTGTATATATAAAAATCGGAAAAAAAAAACTGAAAAACACGAAATGTAACTGTTGTGCCAGTTTCTATCAAAATTGGGCAGGGCCGAAAAAAAAAAAAAAAAAACTCGAACTAGAGTTGTCCTTGCATTAGAAAAAAGAAAAACGAAAACCCAATGGGCCAGGAGTTGGACCACACGCACTGTCCGCGAGGCAGATTTTGCTTGCGTACCGCACCTTTTATCTCGTTTTCTGCTCTTATCAGTAACGGAATGTTTTCCAAATTTCGCGTCACGAGTCGAGTATGTTCTCTGGTGATTTTGGAATTCGATGCTCTTATCCTGTGTTCTCCGACAAAAGCTTCGAAAAGCGGCGATTTTCGATCAGACATCAAAACTAAATACACAAAAAAAAAAAAAAAAAAAACGAATTTGTGGAAGGAAAAACAACCAACGATAAAACATCTGAAGTACCGAAGAAAAATAAAACCCGAAGACACGTAACTGCGGCTACATTGGTTCCACTCCTGCAAACGATAAATTTTCCTTCTTTTTCAGGAAGTAAAATTGAGTCACAAACTATTTTTTTTAAAGATCACTATTACGAGCAAGAAACTCGAAGCACAAGAAAAGCTGTAAATTAAAGAAAGAGAAACCGCCAGAAAAATATAAAAGAAAAATAATATGATTGATCATAAGCAACATTGTAGAATGTGGTATAAGAAGATACGCGAGTGATCTATGGCTCATATATTGATAGATTAAAAACATCGCAGTCACTATATTGGCCATTTTTGCTTGCAAAAGTGATTGTGTTGCTTCCGACGCAAATAGTAAACTTGAAAGGAAAAAGAAATGATAAATAAAAGACTTCGTTTAACCTTGAGAACAACCTCAGTCGACGCTACAGCGCCAATAGGCATAATCACGGCTCTCGTTTTTTTTTTTTTTTTATTAGTGTTGAAAGCAATTAGCCGGTAACTGATTCAGTCGGCAAATAGTATAGTCTCGGTATCAGGACGCATTCACCGTGCGTAATTGACATCGTCTGTGATAGAAAAACACAACAATCACTTAACAGCGTGACGATGCAACTTTACAGCTGCCTGATTGACTCGATCGGGTCGTATAGGGTCGCCATAGGGAACAAAGAATCATTCTGAAAGAAACAAATATATAAAACAAGTCCGTTGTGATACTTTGGAAATTTCATAGTGGTACATTATATGTTTCTGACTCCTGACCCTCACATACTAGTTACATCTTCCGTCCCCCTGCACGGCACACAGCCAGTAAGATTCAAAACCAGCATTGTTTCGGTGTTCCTTCTACCGGGTCTTTGTTCGTCGGTGACCGATTAAGAATGCGGTATTTGTTCCGCCTTCGATAAGACTTTGGTGGATGCGGAGCCAAAGCTCGATGGAAGGCGACGAGCTGGCGCTGGAGGAATTCTCAATTTGCTCATCGCCAACTATGTATGGTACAGGCCGGTTTATTGCCAGAATGCCAGCTCCTGAACGCAGTCTGACTGCAGTTTACGAGAAGCTATAATGTCCCTGCGCTGAACAAAAACGGAAATGACTTTGACGTTCCGAAAATACGCTTACCCGCAAGGAACAAACGCCGAAGCGTCTGATGCAGATGCCGAGCAAACTGGAGGCGTATCATGTTGTCAGACAGCACGCCGCACACTCTCGCACTTGTATGTAAAGACTTCGCTGGTTGGGGCTGCTTATATGACGGATGAAATGCTCGCACATGGAAGCGATCAAAGACTTTCAAGGGCTGCTGTCGAGGGTGGTGTTGTCGAAAGCCCAAGGTCGAGGAGGAGATCAGCACTACGGGAGAGGCAGACGCTTTCGTGGAAACAGCCTTGGGCTGTTCGTTTCGCTGGGATTTTTTAAAACAAACATCGCAATGTGGACAGTTGCAAGAGCTGCGCTTCAGAAACTATTGCCACCGTGAATGAAACGTGCTTTGTTTTGGGCGCCGGTCACGCAACCGTGGGCACGCCTTATCCAGGCTTCACTACCAGACAGTCACACACGACAGTGGCAACATGGCGACGCCCGGAGGTCTAAAGGCGCTAAAAGCCGTGGTCATACAGGATACAAAGAAAGTTGTGCAGACGTTATGTGACGCGCTCCTTTAATGACGCTCCTGTCACATTGGTCAGACAAAAACTGTCTTGAGACATGTTCGAAGCAAGCATATATGTATGACAGTGTTGGGTAAAGTACATCTAAAAGGTACTTCAAGTAAAGTACACAGTAAATTAGACGCGATGTACTTCAAGTAAAGTAGTAAGTACACCGGATGCAATGTGCTTGAAGTAAAGTACTATAAATATAATGCACTTCCAAACTAAAGTACAAGCATTTTAGTACAATATTTCATGATGTCCTTTAATTCCCCTATACAGTGAATTTTAACTGGCATGCATTGATCAGGGGTAATCAGGGCTGCATGACCTATTTTCAAAAGCAGCAGCGAATATTTGATAAAGTGGCAACAGAATACTTGTTTTCAGGAATTGAGCCAAATTCCTGAAAATAATTCCTGAGCCAAATTCCTGAAAATCACTGTATAGTGATTTTCTTGCACTGAATTGTTGCACCCAAGGGGGTTAAATATACTAGGAGAGAGCATGACGTCAGTCCTGTAGCCTCCACAAGCAATCCTCTCATAAAAAACGTCCTCTTCTTAATGAAAAACAAAAACAACAAAAGTGAGTGTGCAAGCGAGCTGGTGATAATTCATCATAATGTGATACCTGAGATTGGGGTGCGAAAAAATTAAGGAACTTTCAAGTTCAAGGAAAAGACAAAAGAGAATGTCTAAAAACACTCTGACGTTCTCCCCTGTTGTCTTTTTTTCGACTCAAAATTTTAATTTTTTCCGAACCACAGTCTCAGGTGATACATTATGATCAATTTTGCTCGCCTAATATTTTAAACTTCCTCGCTCGCAGTGACCGACCGAGAATGGCGAGAGTTCAAAAAGCTACGGAAAAACCGCGAATGTGGGCGAAAATATGCAGCTGCTCGCTTCCGCCGAACGTCATTGGTTGGTCGAGCCGTCATGTCATAAAATAAGCAGGCGCAATTCTAATTGAATCATTCGCACAACGATCAACTGGCAATCCCTACCTCGTTTCATCTCAGCTTTGCGTAAGCTGCTCAGATTCGCTGAGGTGCCTGCCTCTTCTGTAGAAAGATGCTCGGAGCTGCTGACTGGCAAACATTTATTGAAGATAAACCTCTTCTTCTTCTACACCCATCCGTTCCGATATATGAAACTAATAGGTGTGGAAGAAGATCTTCAGTAAACGGTTGCTAGTCCAGCAGTGTGTTTGTCCTCTTTGTTCTCTCTCTCTCTCTTCGTGTATCTCCCTACATTCAGCTGACATCTTTTAGAAGCATGAACCACCGACAATACACGACGCTGGCTCTGCGAGTCGACGAGCACGAAACCTTTCGTGACGTCATTATTTTCTTCTCCCTTTACTGCCCGGGGGGAAGGGGGGGGGGGCTGACGTCATGATGAAGCCGTGACGTCATGACGTCACGGCTTCATAACGTCATGTGACGTCACGACTTTGTGACGTTAAGTGACGTTTCGACTTCATGTCACGTTACGTCAATTTCCCGCTAAATTTAGCGGGGAAATTTTTCCGCTAAATTTGGAGGAGATATTTTTCCGCTCAATTTAGCGGGGAAACTGCATTGGTGTTGACGTCACGTTACGTCAATTTCCCCGCAAAATTTAGCAGGAAATTGACGTCATGTGAGACGAAGTCGTGACATCATTTGACGTCACGAAGCTGTGACGCCATTTCTATTGCCGCACACGAAAAATTCGCGGGGCCCTAGCCAAAAACAGCTTCGCTGTAAAATGTAAATAGTGGCGCCGCCGTCTGCTGAGGCAAATGGAGCCCGATTAAATTATTTTTAGCACCATACCATGGCAGGAGGGCTGTGGTATGGTCACAACCTCTTGTGTACTGTATCTTGCACTTATCGAACATCTCGTAGCGGGGAGGCAGGTCCTGTGTTCAAAAATGTTTACACGATTTGACACATACTCTTCGTTCCACATCTCGGGTGACCAGTCAGTTTTCGACGCAATTAACAAATCCGAGGTGTGGCCTGAAGGTAGCATTTTCCATCAGTTCTTTGGTCGACTGGACCAGTCTCGTGTTCATACTGATGACGGAGTAGAAACCGTTCATGACGCACAAACTTAGCGTGTTTTACCAAAATGTACGAGGCCTGAGGACTAAGGCCGACGAGTTTTTGTACAATTCAACTAATTTAAGTCATGATATTATATGTACTTCCGAAACCTGGCTTTGTGATGGTATATCAGTCTCTAATTACTTCAACCCCAACTACACGGTCTATCGAAGGGATAGAGACTACTTGTGTACGGGGCAAACGATGGGAGGGGGCGTGTTAATCGCAACTAAAGTTTCCTTGGCATCGCATAGGCGGTTTGATCTCGAAACTTATTCAGAATGTGTTTGGATCGAGATTAAGGCAAGTGACGGATTTAATTACCTGATAGGAACGTACTATTTTCCCCCGTTATCTGATGAAGCCACTTTTATTAAACATTTTGAATCTCTCGGTAAGCAGATCGATTTTGACAAGTTTCGTGTTCAGATATACGGAGATTTTAATCTTCCGCGTATAGAGTGGTCCATTGCAAGCTTTAAACAATAATACGTTAACAGCTAGAAAGGCCTTTTCTTTGTTGTCTTTTATTAACTTGAGTGGTCTAGAACAACTAAATTCAATACCGAATTGCGCAGGTAATATCTTAGATCTCGTTCTTTCAAATTTCCACATTCTAAGCTTAAGTCTGGCTTCCGATCCTTCGGTACAAGTTGATAAGTTTCATCCACCTTTAATAGTCCAGTTATCTCTTCCGTGGAAGTCGTGGACATCGTCAAAGCCATTAGCTTACAGTTTTTTTAGAAGGAGAGTACCTTGGCTTGTATAAATATATTGAAACTTTCGACTGGTCTAACGTTCTCGCCATGTCTGAGGTCGATCGTGCTACCGAGACTCTAACAACAATTGTAAAAGATGCCATTGACACTTTTCTACCGAATCGTTCAACAAAGCCATCCAAATATCCTGAATGGTTTTCTAGGGATTTAAAATGTTATTTTGTCAAGAAAGAACATTTCCACCGTCTTTTTAAAAAATGTTGCTCTTCACTTATGTACACCAAATTCAGTTTATATCGGGCCTTGGCGAAGAAACTGTTCAAGCGCGATAAAAGCATGCATCTTGACAGCGTAGAAAATAGCTTGCTTCGCAGCCCGAAGACTTTCTGGAAGTTCACGAAGCAACACACACGTGACGTTAGTCCTATCATGTGCTTACGTGCCTGTTCAGATAACGCCCCGGGCTATGTTTCATCACCTCATGAAGTTGCAGATGTTTTCGTTGATTATTTTGCCAAATGTTTCTCTGACAATCAGCAATCAGTTCAACCGGAGGATAAGGAGCTGATTTGTCACGATTTTTTGAGTTCCATAAGAGTGGACTCTCTTGATATTGCCGAGGCGATAAGAAAGTTAAAGCCCAAGTTTTCTTCTGGCGTGGATGGTGTACCAGGCTTTGTTATCAAAGGTTGCGGTCAGCTGTTCATTCCTATTTTGAAACACACTTTTAATATGTCACTCAGTTCAGGCGTTTTCCCTTCGCTTTGGAAAAAAACAGTCTTTGTTCCTATCTTAAAAGGCGGTGACGCATCTATAGTTGCGAACTACCGTCCAGTTTCCCTGCTTTGTGGTTTTTCCAAGGTTTTTGAGGTTGTTGTGAATAGCAGGATGACTTTTTATTTCCGTCAAAAATTAACGCCCTTGCAGCACGGTTTTTTAAAAGGTAGGTCTGTGGAAACAAATTTGTGTACCTTTTTAGATTACAGTGTGCCGTTTGTTTTAAATGGAGAACAGGTAGATGCAATATACTTTGATTTGTCAAAAGCCGTCGATAGAGTGAGTCACGTGTTGCTTTTGCCCAAGTTACATCTGTATGGTGTCTGTCCAGAATTGTGTAACTGGTTTAAGAGTTGTTTGTCTTTTCGATAAAATAGTGTGCGGGTCGCTGACAGTTATTCCCAAGAGTTTTTTTTCAATATCAGGCGGACCCCAGGAATTAATTTTGGGTCCTCCACTGTTTTCAATTTTTATAAATGATATAGCGTCATGTGTAAAGAACGTTGAACTGCTTTTATTTGCAGAGGACATCAAGTTGTTTAGGAGTGTTCACTGTCCTTTAGATTGTGATCTGATAAAACATGATGTGTCTAATATAGCACAGTGGTGTAAACAAAATCAGTTATTTCTTAATCCTTTTAAGACAAAAGTGATATCTTTGTGCAGACGCCGTGTGATCATAAATAACACTTATCATCTTGAGGGAAATTCGATTGAACGAGTGTCAATTGTCAGGGATCTTGGTGTGTTCATTGACTGCGGATTAACTATTAAAAATCATGTCTCTTTTGTTGTCAGCTCTGCAATGAAAGTTCTAGGGGTTATATCGCGTTTGACCATGCAAGCATATTAAAAAGCCCCATTGTCCAATACATCTTTTTCATTCCTTAGTGGTTTCAAGGCTTGAGTTTGCTTCTGTGATTTGGAATTCAATATCTGTAACACAGGCTTTGATCATAGAATGTGTGGAGAAAAGATTTGTTCGAATTGTTCATGATA